CCAAGGCACACAGCCAGGACGCACTAATTCTGTGATAAAGTTTCCTGTTTCTTACTTTTTTAGATTAGGCAATTTATATATATAGTCCCTGCTACAGTATTTCTCCTTGCATCCCTTCACAATACAAGTAGCTGCAGGTTTCCTCCAGCAGCGAGAGAACTCCCAAGCAGCTGTGCAACAACTCATGTTCTGTCCTACCTGAGGCTGGTTTGGGTTTATTCCCCCCCACCTCTTATTTTTGGGGGGTGGGAGGGAGAAGGTTGTTAATTATTTTCACCCCTGCTTTTCTCCTGCAAAAGCTGGCCTTCCTGTATGAAGAAGGATGCATGGGCACATGCATGTATGCGAAAGAAATATCACAGAACTCAGTGCTAGATTTCAAAAAGGGGTTATGCCAGGAAGCCACACACAGTCAGTCTGTCCTCACAAATCTTGTGGCAGCAGTAATCTTCTGGCAAACGTGCCACAGATGTGATAGCAGAGAAGCACGGCAAGGCCAAACTCCATCTGGTCCTGGCACAATGCATACCATGTCCAGTGCCCTCTTTCTACAGCCCAAAGGAAAAGAAGGGCTGAGCTCAGCAACACTTTGCTGAAATTTTCAAACTGCGTTTGCTCCCCTAATTATAAGACATTTTTTTCCGTTTCTACCTCAGCAGGGGGGTTACGCCTTGATTAAGACTCACTTACTCCACAAACCAAGCCCACCACTCGCTAAAGTAAAAAACAGCTTTTCCTTTTTCTCCTGTCTGTCCTCAGGCACAGTCTTCTCCCTGACACCTGGGGAACAGCAGATACTCCACATACCTCAGAACAAGCAGCAGAGCTGAGAGGACTCTTCCCTACAGACAAACATAACCTGCAGTCATAGCCAGAAACTGGCTGACATGCAGTGATCCAAACAGTTAGTCAGAAATGTGACTCAGTGTTGGAGACTCCCTCAGAAAAGCCTTGCAGTGAAGGGCCCAGCTGTGCCTTTAGGAAAAAGAAAAGGCAGGGAGGAAATATCAGGAGATAAGGTATTTCTCTTTCACCGGTAATCCAAGGTTTGCTTCTGGCCTATAATGAAATACCTGTCTTGACAGATCCATGGACCTTAGCACAAGGAGCGTCAGTGAAACGGCACAATGAAGAGTCATCACCAACGTAAGCAAAGTTACCTTTTAACAGCACCATGCAAACTGACAGCTGTGCGGATGAGTTTGCATCCTAGAAAGCTCGCAGTCGGGGTTGACAGTGAGCAACAGGTGAACGAGACGGAGAAATGCAGAGCTGCGCAGGGCAGACAAGGGAAGAGGAGAGCTAACGAGTTACCACAAAGCAAGTAACCATCTCCGTGCTGCACCTGACAGCATCTCCGGAGACAGCAGACAGAGATCCAGGCTCTTTGGACGCACCGTAACGGCCACGAGTCGCTGATACCCCCGTCCCTAAACGCCTGCTTCGACTTGCTACATCCGTCCACCTGCGGTTGCTGCCCATTCTCCGACCTCTTTCGCAGAGGGACCCTCCTCTCCAAGCCGCAACCGCTGCCAGCCCGAGGCGGCGGGCCCTGCTGCCGCCTGCAACGCCAACAACCC